TCGAATCTCTGGAGCCACCTTTCGGGATCGAGCGATTCCAAATCGTCGCTAAATACTGGATGATGGTGTAAAACCTATGTATTGGCGACAACTATCGTACTAGATGGATGAAAAGGCCCGTCTGGTAACTGAAGCCCTCCATCTGGGACGAACCATTCTAGAAGAAGCCCCCTAGGCGGATGGAGGCGGAAAGTCTCCTTGACTACCGGACTGAGGTACGGGAACTGCTGGCTTTCTTTTCATTCGATAGGGAGAGATAAAGAGCCTGTTTTTTCGGGCAAGAGATGGTTAATTCTAATGATATTATCTAAGGTTATAAAATGAAATACGAAGGTAATTTCCTTGTAGATAACATCAGTAATGTAAAGCCATTCATCATAGCAATTAACCTCTAGGCTAGGCTATAATGTATAAAAGTTAATCCTGATTAGCCTAGTGTCTTATTGAGCCAGGCAAACTGGTATCTATTCCATTCCTGCCCAGCTCCAACTTGGACGTGATACCCAGCTGTTCTATTAAAGAACTTATACGTTGCATTATCGCCGAGTGCGTCCTTAACAAGCTCCGGCTGGCCAGCGAAGAACCCCTCGAACTCGGAATCGACGACAAGGACGGGTACGTTGATCTTCTCAACCACGTTATCAAGAGTGTACTGCTTGAGCGATTCGAGCCACAGATACGGGGAATGCTGTTTGAAGGACCACAATCCGTGTCCTAGACCCCAGCGCATCGTTGTAGGCACCTGTGGGCTATCCAAGAGCGGCAAGGCAGCCTCGTCAAATTCCTCTTGCATGCCCGCAGCCAGGAGTTCCTTCATGTCCGGGGTCAGCTGACTGGCGTATCCCTCGTAGACATCCCACACGCCACCATTGAGAATAAGAGCCTTGATCCGAGGCTCAAACGCGGCGGCACGAGCGGCTAGATACCCACCCATTGAAACGCCAACAAGGACCAGCCGGTCTTCATCGACGAAGCAGCCTTTGAGGTTCATCAACTCGTCTATCACTGGCGTGAGAACCTTCTCCCAATCAGGGATGAAACCAATGTCATCATTGCGGCGAACAGTGGGCTGCCCTGGCCCTTCGTAGGTCATAACATTCCAGCCACGGGTCAAGGCTGGTACAACGAACGAGTGGTAGGAGTCTTCCTGGCTAGCATCGTATCCGTTGCCGATAATCAAGGTTGGCCGTTTGATCCCGTCGGCTGCAGATGTGTACCAGATTGCTTCGATGGTGAAGTTGTCTGTCGGGATCTGGATACGTACGCCAGGAACGGGCAGTGTAGCAAGCGCCTTATCAAACGCAGCGCGTTGCTCGAGCCAGAAGCCATTGATACGTGGGTCCGTCCAGTTCGCATGGTTGTAGAAGTCGGCCTGACGGTAGTAGCTCGATGCAGCGAACCAGGCTTCCCGGACGTTCAATGAATCGTACGCATTGTCCGCATCCTCGGCTTGCTTTTTGGTGTATTCAGCCAACGCATGGAAGGTCTCAAGCCAGCTGGTGAAGTTCCCGGGCTCGATGTCTTTCGCTGCGGCCAAGACATCGTTGACGTCGCCAGCCCCGAATATGGTGTTTCCGAGAGTGAAGAGCAGCTCAAAATGGAAGCTTTCATCCTTGCTCAAGAGGATGATGGGATCCTCTGGCTCCTTTGGCGAGAACGATGGCCCAGAGTCACGGGAAAGAATGGAACTTGAGGCTACTGTTGACCCCAAGAGAACAGCACTGAACAGTGAAGTTGACTTCATTTTGAAAGGCACTCAGAAGTAAGTGTAGAGTAGAGAAGAATCGGTAGAGTTGCTGGTGATGATATTGATCATGCTATAATATTCTGGGCGATGCATTGCCTTTTATCTTCATTTGCTTGTTCTCGCAATCTATTCCAGCGAGAGCAACGCACAACCAGTTTACACCTACCTACACTATGCACCAGCCATGCACCGAGCCTGTTTGCGATCGGTATTTTCCTAGTTGCGCACTCCTGGGAACCATGAGGCTATTGTGAATGACGCAGGGACTAGGACGGATACGGCAATTTCTTTGCGATTGGTCGCCTTCTAATGCTGTGCCACTCTCTAGTGCTAGTCACCCCACGGCTTTCGCATCCTCCCATCGCTAACACTGCACACAAGCCTGGCCGGTGAGGATACCTGGACTCAAACTCAACGATCTACAATTCGTTCGCAACGCTATCTAATTTCCGCATGAAGGTATTTATAACTCAGTCCCTGGATGCGACGAATCGCAAAAAGAACCGGCCGCGTGGCGACTCTCAACCAGAAGCGACATCAGTCCTGTCGATCATTGCGCAGCAGACATGGTCAATCATGGCCCCTCAAAGGGCTGCTCGACATGTCGCAAACGACGTGTTAAATGCGACGAAGACCGACCAAGCTGTCGTGAATGCCTCCGGCTGCGACGGGTGTGTGGAGGTTACGAATCACAGAAAAAGACAGGCGAAATTCGGTTCAAGGACCAGAGCACTGGTGCAAGGCTCCTTACGCCGACATCACGGTTCAGGAGCCCTCGCACGTTGACAACGCCAGAATGGACAATGCAGGCTGTCATACCAGCAAGGATTTCCATCAGTGACGAATCATTCGCTGTCTGCTTCTTTCACACCTCGATTGCGGGCTTAGGACGCAGCTTTCGCTCGACCCAGGGTTTCCTGGAGCCTCTTCTCCCTGTCGTATCCAAGGAGCATCCGGATTCTGTCCTCTCGACCGTCCTGACTGCCGTGTCAACGAAGCTCTGGAGCTTATGGAAAACCCCAACCAACAACTATCGAACGCCTCATCCTCCGTTTACCAGGGCGCTGAGTCGCCTACGAGCAGCTCTTAATGATCCTCTCGAGCGGTCAAAGGACAGTACCGTACTCAGCGCTATCTTGATGCATTTCTACGAGAGCCTCGTTGCTCGGTCGACGCACCAGCATACCATGCGTGCTCACCAGGACGGGGCTCGTGCATTGCTAGAACATGGCGCCGAGAGCTTCCCGGACTCGGATTGCCGCGCATACTTGAGGAGATACCTGCGGCACTGTGACGTGTCGACATATATGGAAATGCAACCAGAGGACACCTCGAGCCTGGATGTTTGGTTCGATGCAGGGTGGGACTATTCTACGCCGGCCAATCCGAATGCAGTCTTGGACCTGATCGGGCTCTCGATTGCCGATTTGCAAAGGAGACTATCCACCTTTATGTGCGGGCTGGCCAAGAATAACTTAGATGGTCTAACCCTCGCGACTTGGTGGCAGGAGGCTTCGTCTGTTAACGCACAGCTCTTGGATTGGATTCAGCTAGTGCCGGCCTCATGGCAGCCTTGCAAAGGGCTCGAAGAAGATAGCTTGGGTTACTTTGGGTCCTGCGACATATACCCGACCGTCCAGATTGCCACGATCTGGAATGTATGGCGCGTTTGCCAGCTCATGGTCCTGCGGATGAAGTTCTATCTGCTTGCAAAAGCGCCCCCCGAGGCGCTGCAGCAAACTATTTTGATCGCTACCAAAGATTCCAGTTTCCCAGATCCAAATCACGGCAGGAAGTTGGTGGACTCCATCTGCCGGTCCATGCCGTTTTACCTGGGTAACCGCCAAAATCACAGAGGCTTGTACGACTTAGCGGACCCTGCGATCAGAATCCCCAACTACCACGACCAGAACTTTGACGAAGCTACACGTATGCAGTATATCCGAGGGGACGAGGCAATGAGTCTCTCTGATTATAAGCAACATATTCTGATTCAAGGCCCTTCGCACGCACTGCTTCACTTGAACAGCCTGATCAAAGTGCTGTCAAAGGAAGGCGGAGAACTTATCTGTCGTCAGCTGCATAGGGACAAAGTCGTCTGGATCAAGGAACAGTTCCTCCGGGTCTGTGAACTTAACGACCCAGTCAGTCGTTTTAGATAGTAGTAAATGACACCACCCTTATAATAAGTCGCGCTTTGGTATGGGGTGATGCTTCTTATTAGCTCCAGGTTCTTCGAAACCCTAAGACTCAACGTATTACGACCCAGCGGTTACCGATCAGTAACAGCCTCACTCATTAGCCATTAATATACTAACATCGATACTGAGCCCAAGGCGCACGTATTGCGCATGTTTTTCGTCCAATGCCAAGTGCGTCTCGCGGGCTCGTCCTCTGGCCACATCAATCAACTTCCAAATGTCGGTATGCTTGGCAAGGAAGTGTCATGATGCAGGCGACAAGTCACTTGGAAAGTGGACCCAAAGGAATAGAATACATAATGCAGTGGATAAGCAAAGAAACGCTTGGCAGGTGAGGCCAGCCTCGACGATCAAGCATAAAAGATCCATACTCAAGGTGCAACGCTTAGCTACGAGTCAGCATGATTGATGGGGCATAAGCTGAGGGCGAGTTAAGGGCAAAAGACTCTGCTATGAACAAGTATACGAAGAACATCCCCTGAATTGGAGTCTCGAATATGTTGCAAATGGCCGCTGTCCACCTAAAAGCTAAATACCTTCTTTTGAATGTTCGCTTGTAGAGTCGGGATTCGAGGAAGACTGTGGGAACGGCCAAGCCCGGGAGAAGATACGGCTCATTCCCCGCGCGACACCCGATCTTATGGTCAAATTTGGTCATGGCAGGAATCAGTTCCCCGTCATAGGCCGAGACGGCACTCCTGCTTTGACCGCGCATGCCGGGTTGTCTTCACATGGATGGTAATTTGCAACCTTTGGGCCCCAAATGGGACAGTTCATTGAAATGCGTGTACTTTCAGTGTTTCCATCCTCCAGACCTATAGCGTTTCGAACCCCCCTCATTAGGAAGAGGGGGGGGGGGGGGGGGCTCAATTGGGCGTGCCGGTCATAGCTCCCGTGTCTGCGCCGCCTTTGATGTATCTACAATAATACTGATTTTCCTCCACGAGGCACTCAATGCTCGCTCTGGCATATGAGCCTCTACTCCTGTACTGTCTAAGGCTGAAAGAACAAAATATAAAGACACTAGTGCTTTAGCTCGTCTTTACAAACCACTACAAATTGTATCTCGGCAGATTTTGTGACTGGCCAGCTTTCCAATGCTCGAAAGCATCGACACTTTCCTCCAAGGCATCAAATCCCAGAATGACTTCGAGGTAGGCCGTGTCAGCAAGAGTGAACCCATCGGGTGAAGCTCCTCTAGGTTCAGACCTTAGCCATGCATCCCTTGACTCCTGAATGGGGCCATCTGGCAAATGATATGCACGCTGATTTGACCTCGCTCCCTGAACGTTGATGGTGGTCCTAGACTTTCGTAAGTTCTCGTAGATCTCCAACATGCCCAGTACAGTGTCTCTGGTCCCATCATGATATAGACCTGAGCTCTCCAACTGCCCAAGCAGCTTTCCCAGAACAGCGCCATCTTCTACCGCCATTGCTGCGCCCTGCGCTTGATATGGCAGTGTTGGATGGCATGCATCGCCAAGCAAGGCTATGGGGCCCTGTTGAAATCAGTGATCACTTGCAGATACTAGGTCCGTAGAATGATTACCTTCCTCCACGATTGCAATTCTTCGTGGTGACACAGCTTCCATTTTAAAACGGACGGGACACATGACAGCATTTTTATCAGTCTACGTCGATCAGGTCAGTAACAATACTCCAGTGTGAGAGAATTTTTACCGGACCTTTCATCCCAGCCGACAAACAAAGCTCGCATCTCCTCCACATCCCCAGGCGCCTGTCTCATATCTTTGGGTATGTCATCTGGGCATATAATGACAAGGTTGAATACTTGTCCACCGCCAATGGGATAAAGAACACAATGCTTATTCGGGCCCATCCAGCATTTGACTGTCTTATGCTCGATCAAGTCGTCTATCCGAGGGTCTTTCAAATCCTTCATCTGCTGCAAGGTCAAGGTGGCTCGATATGCAAGGTCTCCCGTCTCAGACGGTGGAGAGGGTCGGCCAAGAATCTGATCCCTCGATCTTGACCAGAGACCTCCGCGGTATTAGTAAGGACATGTTTTGCCAGTCTCGGATCAACGTCAAGAAATAGCAACTTGAAATGTGGGCAGACTGACCATCGGCACCAACGACAACATCACCCCTTACGATTTCGCCAGTCCCAAGGCGCACACTTGAGTCTTTGAAATCGATCGCCACTGCCTCCGTGCCAAGTCGTAACTCTGCGCCAGCCTCCTTGGCCGCGCTCCATAATACACCGTGGTAGTGTGGTCGAGCAATAACCCTAAGAGAGGGTCAGACTCAGCTTCATCAGCAACGCACCTCGCCACCTCGGGCAATAACTGACATCCAAAGATCGCCATAGGATTGCTTCATCTTCTCGCCGCCTTCCATCTGATACAAGACCTTGCCATCTTTGTATCGAAGGTAATCAATTGTATCGACCAAAGTGGCCTTGTCTAGCAGTTGGGGTACGAGGCCGAGCTTGCGAAGGATCCGGGCAGCGTTAGGTGGTATCTGTATCCCTGCGCCGACCTATTGAACTCACACTGTCAGTAGCCCCCTCAAGTCTTCAGCTTCAAGGTGCATCGGAATGGCACTTACAGGCTGTAAAGCAGCAGCTTGTTCGAGAACTACAACTTCGAGGCCTTCCCGACGACAGGATATGGCGCAAACCAGACCACCGATTCCGGCACCAATAATGACCACCTTCATTTCGATTCCAGCAAACTTACATGTATTTCAGGTATGGGTGTTCATTGATGAGGTGCGATCGAAGATGTCTGAAATAAAAGGAGCTGTGCTGTGTTCCCGAGCACGCATATATAGGACGGTTCCAGCAAAACCAATTCCTCGTCACAGTGACGCGTAAAACTGATGGAAACGACTTGCCAAAGGGGGTAATGCTGACCGATGTCAGAATGAGCTCGGAACGATGGGTTGACCGCCATTGACCGAGCTTTGCCGATGCGATAGCTAACCGTAACACGACTGACCCCATGACCATCACCCGCATTCTTCAAAGCTTCATCCCTGCAGTTTTCGAGGGAAGGCGTTGAATGATCCTGCAAATCTGTCAACAAACCTGTTTGACTACGAACTTTCTCTGGAGGTTTGTAAGAAAAAAGGCTTCCACATCGCACACCCATGTGTCACATGATGGCAGAAACTATTACCTCGTTGCCGGCACAGAGGTAAACATCAAAATTTGGGATGAAAAGACCATGCGAAAACCTTAAGTTAGCGGTAATTTGAATACTTTCGTTTGCTGTTATTCTACGTTACATAGCCAGCGACCGGAAAGACTGGAGCATCTGTTTGTCCGATCAAAGACAGCCCTTACGAATAATTGTGCATACCTTAGGCTGGGAAAACCTGTCACCAGTTTCATGGAAACAAGTTTCATGCTAGGTAGAATCTTTAAACACGCTCCGGCAGACTCTTGAATTAGTCATCAAATAAAACTACATATGACTGCATGTGGCGTCTCGCATCGCTGCATCAGCTCAGTCAAACTCTCGTAACATAAGCACGCTTACTGCATGCTCACCTGCACTGCGTCGATTGAGACTTCAAGTTGCTGATGGCATTACGAGTTTCCCTGCATCCTCAATTCTGCCAGTCACAAAACCGAGAGGAACGTTTGGACCCCAAACATGGAGTGAATCTGGTGCTTCTGGAGACCGGGTAGCTTCAGTGTTCTCGTTGACCAGGTCTCCATCGCAATAATGTTCAAGAATGTTTCCCGAGGTATCAAACCTATGGCGAATATCCCGTTATTCCACCCTTCGGCATTTACTCCTTGGAGTCTTGGGGATCGCGTTCATGCTTACCAGTAGTCAAATAGTTGGCTGCCCAAGACATGCCGTCCAATTCCCCAGCAGTTGGTGTAACCCTTCTTCAAAAGCCACTCGTGGCCGAGAGCTTGAGTATCCATATCATTAACCTCGAAGCTAGCGTGATGAACAAAAGGCGTCTGGCTAAACGGATGGGCGCCGAGGAAAAAGCTCTGGGTCCGTGATCAACAGATGCACCAAAGATTACACGGCTTTGCCACTTACATGGTGGTCAGTGAAAGTGGTTCCTCTATCAATGTGCATGAAGCAAGTCGTGTCTTTGTTTGTCCGAGGGTCGAAAACCGCGTCAGTAGGCACTAGGTTCATGAGGCCAGTGTACCACTTCAGCGTTTTCTCGTAGGTGTCCTTGGGGACCATGAATCCATAATGCCCCAGCTTGTGAATTGGACTAGGCCCGTAATTGAAGCGTTTGAAACGACCTTTTCTTGGCTTTTCGTCAACCAGATTGGTGGGGGGACTCTCGTCGTCAGCAATCCGGCTTTTGTCCACATTGTCAACATCGCTTCTTGGGGCCTGGCCGTGAATGAATCCAACATAGTACCCATTCGGGTCGACAATGTCTACTCTTTTACCACCTCCAGGACCTTTCTCGCCGTGAATGCCTGTAGCGTCAGGGTGATTCGCAGCGACCTCAAGGTCGTTCTCGTTCTCCACGACCCAGGTTGCGCCAATAAATGCGCGGCGTGAGCCGGGAGATCTTTCAATTACATAGACGTACGGGTCAACACCGAAGCCGGCAAAGTAGACACGTCCGTCCTGCCGAGCCACCTCTTGAAGGCCAAAGTCTTCAAGGAATTGGGCTGCCTTTTCGACGTCGACGTGCTGATACAGCACTGAGGCCAGACGAATGACCCTAATCTTCTGTGGTGATGAAGCCATGGGTGCGACACGCGACTAATGATAAGCTGGATGGGTTTACGGACAGTGAATCAGATTACGTGCAGGCTCTTGGATACTCAAAACGGCTGGTCATATATGTAGCGCAATGCACTAGATTTCCCAACGGGATTTCGCGGACTTATTGACCGATGATGCGCCGCGGCCTTGAACGGCTTTACCGCGAATGCCGCCTGGCTATTTGACCTGCATCTGCCGGAAGACACGGGCTCCTGCTGCCAAGGGACTAACTCTATTTGACGGCTCTTCCTTTCGCTATCTACAGGTTCCGGAATGAGAGATCCTCACCCGATTCTTTACTTGGTTGCTCTTTCGATTAATTGCCACAGGCTGGGAAGTCTTCTTCCATATGCTCACCTAATTGCTCTTGGCAACTCACTGTTGACCATGTCTTTCAATCGACTTGTTCATTTTGAGGAAAATGGGAAAATTAACTATGGTGATATGATCGACTCTAGTGATGACAAGGGCTTCGACGTCTTGGAGCTGGATGGTAGCCCATGGCTAGGTCTAAAATTAACTAGTCGCAAGGTCAAAACTGCGAAGGTACTTCATGCACCTTGCCCGATTCGCCATTTGCTCACAATGAAGACGCTGCTTTTATGCCCCATTGCGGCCTGTCCATCATCATCTGTGTAGGGCTCAAACTACAAGCAACATGCAGAAGAAGCAAAGGTATGCATAATGCCCAAGTCCTGCCCTTGGCCCTCACACAGTTAGTGTTCCCGAACTGAGAAAAACTTACTTACGTATCGACGCAACGTCTAGTCGAAGGTGCCAACCTTTCCCGTCATTTTGACGAAGCCAAGTGATGCTTTGGCGGGGCCTTTGGACGATATCAAAGTACATCCAGACGCTCAGATTCAACTGGACTAGGAAGGAGAGCTCGTGGTCATCATCGGCCACGATGCCAAAGACGTCAAGGAAGACCAGGCTCTCAATTACGTATTGGGATACACAGCTGGGAACGACGTGTCTGCGAGGAACTTTCAATTGCCAGATGCCTCTGGTGGACAATTTTGTTATGCGAAATCATTTGACGGTTTTGCACCTGTGGGCCCTGCAATCTGGTCAACCGAGTCGGTGCCAGATCCCCAAAAGCTTCATATCACGACAATTGTCAATGGGGGGGTGGTCCAAGAGACGGGTACAAGTGACATAATTTGGTCGGTAGCCCAGATCATTGCCCACCTCTCTCGAGGCACGACTTTGCGGAGGGGAACAGTGATCATGACAGGCACTCCCTCTGGCGTCGGTTACTTTCGAGGCGCCTTTCTCAAAGACGGTGACTTGGTAGAAGTAGGGATCTCTGGACTGGGGAGAATCGCAAATTGGATCGTCTTTTGACGCGCAAAAGAACGGGGCACGAAAGAGATGTCTGCGACGTTATTCAGAGGCTCGACTCGAAGCAGTTGAACCCAAAACTATCACCGCATAGATATTCCAACTGCACAGGGGAGCACCAGCTATAGCACCCCTCAGACGTATTTGCGAGAAGTTGTGGTATCTCGCCCACATTTCCATCCAAACCCAATTCGATGTCGAAAAGTTCCCTCGGAGACTGGCAAGCGCCATGTGGCTCAGACGCTCCGTCATAGACAGATCCAGCACCAGACTGTCGCATACCCGATCGAGTTTTATTTGTGGCTCTGAGTGACTCATTGTGCAGATTCAAATGAGAAAAGTAAATCTTGCAGTATTTTCTCAATGAGGATTGTTTCTCGAGGTTTCTCTTATATTCTATTGACTTGGAAGTCATCAGGCCTGCAAGAATCGGCACCATTAGACTGAATGAATGGCCTTGATATAGAAACGGATGTACTCACCCAGCAGCACAGAACCTAGCTGCCAGAAAGTAGCAAAGTGGGAAAGGATTAGGGCTGAAAGCTCTTGGTTGCACGATGAACTTAGTGACCGCGACGAAGACGTTGATGGATAGGTGCGGGCAGAAAGAAGTGTTCCGGCGAAGAATGGGTGACTGAAGGCGATGTATTCGGGGTGCCAACGGTTGAGGATTCTCGAATAGTCATCTCCGATCGTCGCAACACCCGACGCCGGTGTTGCTGTCAGAACTTGTAAACACGCTTGAGTGTTTGCCAACATTAGATGCATGCCAATAATCCAATTGGCGTTCGCAAAAGTCCTGGCAGTGAAGACAGGCGGCTTAGTTTCCAGTCCATATCTCCGAGAAACTGCAAGAGAGAAGTAAGTTATTGAGCTAGCGAGATCGCTATATTCTCGCTGAGACTTCTGCTGGCCTGAAGCTGCCTCGTACGCCAGAGCCATCAGATAGTTGGCCACGAGGAACCACGCTCGCTCGTCTTTGTTCGGAGAGTCGAGCAAGACTCTCCAAACCTGTGTTGGATTAAGAGGAATGACCGGTGACTCGCATGGGCTGTTGGAAAACCACGCTTCATCGCTGACCGGGAGACGCACAATGATCCTTTGGCTGTTGAGTCCTCGCGGCCTCATTGAGAGGATTGAAGCGAACGTATCGATCTCCCATACGAGCCAAAATGCTCTCCTACGCTCCTCTTCTGCCGACCACTTTGTGGACGCCATTTCATTGCCGCCATCTTCTTCGTCCATACAGCAGACGTCGAGGTCGTAAGCTAAGCGAACACATACCCCGGTGAGTATCCATGCTTGATGACTTGGGCCGGCCGTGTAGAGATAAAAGGCCAACAATACACACCCCTGTAAATATTCCAACGTTGTTTCGCTATCGGACGATCGCAGTCGGCCGTAATATTGAATCGCCCATTCGGCGAAATTATCCCCACGATTCGGTGGTGACAATCCCTGGAAGTACTCATTATTTGAGTGTCGCGCGGCGAGAGCAAAGATACCATGTAACAGAAGGCCCTCTTCCAGCGACACCTGGAGTAACCTCTCTTTTTGGAAACTACCATCGACAATGTACCTGGCGAAGAAGTTTGGTCGATGAAGCAATGGCAACCATGCTTGAATTTTGTCGAAGTACAAATTGACGAGCTCTGTTGCCACTTCAGCAGGTATCTCGGTCCGGTATAAATTCTTTTCTGTGCTTTCTCCAGCACCTCCCGCTTCGATTTCGACTTTTCGATCAGCTCTGGGCTCGAGACAATGGCTTGTTGAGTTGGCGGAAGTACAGCCCAGGGCCACTATGGCGTCCTGCTCCGCATCGTCTCGACAAGTCCCAACAGATCCGGAGTAACTAGGGCTCGTAGCAATTGATTGATCGCTGCCTTGCTCTCTTCCTGGAGATTGGCCCGTAGAGCTTTGGCTTTTTGGAGTTTCGTCAAGTCTGGATTCAAGAAGGCTAACAAGATGTTCTATCAGAGGCTTAGTATAAACACAATTGACGTATTCGGGATGAAATTGGGTCTAACCAAGCCTTTGAGGGTCTATCACGTTTAAATCCTTCTGTTTTGCGGGCCGTTTTCGGAATTCGGGGGCTTTCCTTTTTGTCGGGAATGTACAAGACCCGCCTGTTCTCCGACAGAGACCGCAGATGGGTTGTCGCATATCGCCTACAGGTTCAAGATCAGTGACGTGGGTAGAAACGTAGGGAAATTCAGAAGTCCTTGCATACACCTTGTCTTCTTACTGCGTTGGAAGAAGTCAGTACGATTAAGCCGGGAAGAGTAGGAGAAACAGTGATGTGACCTTAAGTCATACTCTGTAGGCGGCGACTTACCGTCGGCACTCGATACAAGCGCGAAATCCCCTCTCTGGGGGAATAGCTGCAATGATATTGCTGTCTTTTGAGACCCGCGCATCTTTTGTCGGTCCTAAGCCAGTGATACTTGCTTCAGCCTCCATCTGGATCAAGCCTGTGCAACGATAACGATGCTGGAGGAGACGTTCGCGACTCTAGAATTGCAAGTCGTATGCAGTCAGGACAAGAATAGCCCCGGAAAACGTAAGGCTTTGGGCGATATGGAGTGGATGTAAACGACGCTTAGAGGACGACGATGAACATGTCGATGTATGACTGAAGCAAATTCATGTAGCTTGGAGATGTGCCCCGCTGGCTACCCCAGATTCCAGGTGAGGGGCCGCCCGGGGTTTACGGGATGTGATGCAGGGGCTGCTTGGGCACAGGTCGCTTCAACGGGAACTAGACCGGCAACGCATTCCTCATGGGGTAATCAAAATCGACCCTCTTTTACATGTATCATCTACCTTGGACCTAGTACACTTTCAAACAAGTTATTCAATTTCAGCCATCTGTGATGCTCCGGTCTTCTCCTGACACTCTCTCAGCATCTGCAAGCCTGCATGGCACGCCTCAATATGAAAAGGTATTGATAGTAAGGTATGCAGCTGCTGACTGGAAATGCCATTATATGGGAATATGTCGAGATGATTGCTGAGAACCTCTGAGCTTTAAAGTTTCTGAGATGGCCACACTAGGTACTCCGTACTTAGAACTCAGTATCTGTGTGGGGACGGTCAACCACGGCGTTCCGAATTGCCGTCCTTGGGGGCACATTGACTAGGCACGTGCGGTCAAGCGAAGAACCTTGGACAAGAGTTCAGCCGGATGAAGATCACCGCGGTGGACGTCGGCATAGTGAGAGCGGTCGACAATATTCTCGCCAGATCGAGGTGCTAATTTACAAAAAGCCCAAAGTCATCTGAGGGAAACATTGTCGTCATTCTGAGCTGTGTGGCTTTCAACCAAAGATTTGCTAGTCGGAATCGAATTATTCAATCGCGTTAACCATGAGCTCGACAATTGTACGTCGAATTTTGTTGCTCAACTGCCTGGTCCGACGTTCTTATGACTGATTATTTCGCAGGTAATTGAGCACCACGTACCAGTCTTGGTCGTTGGCGCTGGTCCCGCTGGGTTGCTTCTGGCACTGCAGTTGGCGAAGAATGGTGTCCAAAGCTTGATAGCTGAACGAAACCTAGATTCAACGAAATGGCCAAAAATGGATATCACTAATTGTCGAAGCATGGAGCTGCTTAGAAGACTCGGGATTGCCGATGACTTGCGGGCTCAAGGCGTCCCACAACACTACTCTTTCGACGTTCTCTTCAGTACGGGCCTCTCAGAAAATGGAGAGCTCATTGACAAATGGGTCAGCTTATGCTTGCCCCGATACCCCTGCTAGATCAATGGCTTTGTAATTCTCATGAGAAAGTAGAACCTTCCTTCGCCAGACGAATGGCGCCAGCGCATCCATTCTTGCAATGATGGTTCCATGCCAAGGGAGCCATACCAGCGCTGCAGTCAGGCTATTTTCGAAGCCTGGCTGAAGCGTCGCATAGAGTCCGAAGAGCTAGTCGAAGATCACTTCGGCCTCAAGTTCGAAAGTTGTGCAGAAACCTCCGACGGGGTTAAATCGGAACTCGTCAACACCGTCACTGGAGAGCGGCATATGGTCACCAGTCAGTATCTGGTCGGCTGTGACGGCGCTGGCAGTAGCGTCCGTCGGCAACTTTACATCAAGATGATTGGTGGTCCTGTGTGAGTTAGCATGGTTTTCCATCGAAGACTAGCAACTTGAGTCTCTAATGTGATATTGTCCAGACCTTCTGCGATGTATCTCATTCACTTCAAGTCACGAGATCTCACGGCATTGCACAAGCAAGGCCAATTCTGGCACATTTTCTTCACCAGCGGCAGCGTCATAATATCTCAAGACGAAGTTGATACATGGACAATCCATCTTCCCATATCTCTCGACACTGATTGGAAGTCCCTTGATCCAACAGAGTCCATATACCGAGGGCTGGGCGGGTCTTTGGCTCCTTATCCCATCAAGGTGGACGAAATCCTCGTTTGCAGCTCGTGGCGCCCAAACATCGCTATTGCCGAACGTTTTGCTTCTGAAAGTTTCAGAGTGTTCCTAGCCGGCGATGCAGCTCATCAAAACATTCCCACTGGTGGATACGGCATGAACACGGCTGTTGGCGACGTCTTTGATTTAGGATGGAAACTATCGGCTGTTCTCAATGGCTGGGGAGGGCAAGAATTGCTCCGCTCCTACGAAGTCGAACGAAAACCGGTTGCAATTCGCAACATCGAACGGTCTGGTCAACATTTTCAAGTTCATCAGACTTACGTCAAGTGGGTGGCCGACGGAGGCTCAGATGTCCTTTTCAATAGGGAGGAGCGTAGACTTCTCTTTAACCGCATAAAGGCACATACCGAGACCCACCAAGGTGAGAACAAGGACCACGGAATCGAAATGGGATATCGGTACAACGCATCGCCTGTCATCCTCCAGAACGAAGCTGGAGAAGGAGGACAGGAGCCTTCATGGGATCCGCGAACATTTGTGCCATCCTCATGGCCTGGTGGGCGTGCTCCTCATGTCTATCTTCGGGATGGCAAAACCAGCATTTTCGACCTGTTTGGAATAGGATTCTCAATCATTGACTTCACACAAGCTGGGACCTGGAGTCAAGAGTTTGAGGCAGCAGCTGGAATGCTCAATATTCCGCTGACGAAGGTTTATTTGCCCGGAGAGATCCAGGCTAGGAAGGTGTGGGGTAGAGATGCGGTTCTCGTCCGTCCTGATGACCACATAGCTTGGAGGTCACCACTCGACGGGAAGAGACCGGATATTAGAGCAGTCTTAGAAATTGCATCAGGGAGACAACGGCAGACACCTTTGAAGAAAGACTGCGAATCTTCTCATGCGTTGGAGGGTATCAAGCAGCACGGATTTACATCAACCTTGGGCAACGTCGCAGACAACAGAACTGACCTCCTTGCCCCGTTTCAGCGCTGAATTATTGCTAGACTCCCAGAATTCCGTAGCAAGCCACTCTATTACTAGGTTTATGTCTCAATTGCCGTGAGAGCGATCAACATAATCGCATCATGAGCCTTGTGAAAACAGCAAGCGCTCCTCTACGTGTCTGTTCGTCAAAGAAATGCCATCCCAGTATCACAATGGTTTTCTTCATCCTTTCTTCGTTCAGCGCTCCCGTATTCATCCCTGAATTGATCCAAGCAACGCCAACTCCCTTGTGTAAAATATGCTGTCATGACCGGTAACAAAGAAGTGCATCTCGCTATACCCATCAAATAACGTTGGCAGAACGCAGAAGTGTGAAATACAATCTTTTCCCAGCGTTGTGCAAAAGTCCGCTATGAAGGACACCATCTACTGCCTGCCAAACTGTCAATACCGATCTGCTAGATATATGCTTCCAAGAACTCACTTGCGACCCGACGATCTAAACGACACAGTGAACTCAGAGCCATCCTTCAAGTGAGTGACTTCGTGCGTGAGGTCGTCAACTTGCTTCATTGTGGTCTCCAATTTCTGCACAGTCTCGACAATGGTTTGCTGATGAAGATCAAGTCGGTGGCAGGAATTGGAAAGATTAGTGCCCATCGGCGTGTTCTCCTGGAGGTTCTTGTAGTGCGCCTCCATCGCGCGGAATTCCTGGGTCTCAGAAAGCAGGTGGTCGAGCTTGAGATGGATATCGCCCAGGGATTTATCAATTCCGCTGCGCCATTTGCGAAACTCCTCCACTTCGGGATTGGCAGTAGGAGATGCCGGAGCCTTCGATATGTTCTCTGCCAATCGGACGTCAGGCCACTGGACCCTGCTCGTTTGTACCTAGAGTGACACGTCGTAAGTATCGCGCCACTCGAACAACAGAGCTCATTAAATACCAGAGGAGGGACAGATCGAGCTCCTGGAAATTGTCCCGGCATCTTGGGCCAGTCTCCCATTGCGGCCTCCCGCTGCCGCTTGTTGTTGGAGACTTGGCGGTCCATCGCTCTTGATGCGGTCGCAAACGACCTCGGACCTGCCGGTGAATGCTTCGCGTCGAGTATGATACTTCTTAGTGTATAGGATTCGTGTAGAGTTAATCAGTCTCGCGTGTCGTGCAGTTGATAATGATGAGTTGACAGAAACTTTTTGCTATTTCGCGGGAAAGGTTCAGTATGGATTTGGTAGGAAGGATCGTGAGGATGGAAGGAATGGAGAAAATTGAGTTGAGGAAAGGAAAGATTGCTTCTTGGACAAGCCGGGTGTGGTTGTCTTAATTACTAGAGCCGGCTTCACCTCCCACCTCGCAACCCAGAGATGGATACACGTCTGGCAGGTGCGGCACCCGCATCATTGAATATCTATAAGATGCGTGTCCCACTGAGTCCTGAGTCCTACTTTCCCACTCATTTCACCTTTCTTCTTTGTGTATCTCATGATCGTACTCAGCCTGCGCAAAGGTGAAGTCAATGGTTGTCACGTAACAGGGATAGTAATCGCATCTCACGAAGTGCCCGTCACGTGCTGAATCACGTGTCTATCTCAGACATCGTGTATATAGACCTTTTCCTTTTATCTATTTCTACTTTGATAGTTAAGCCACTTTTACCACACTCCGTATGCCCATTGCTGCGTGCCATAACTCGTGACAATGGTGGAGTGAGGCCTCACCAAGGCCCCACAATTGCCCCTTTGGACCAAGACGGCGAAGCGAAGTTCAGACGAACAAACGGCAACTTCCTTTGCTGCCTACGGAGACAGACGGGCCGTAAACGTAAACATAATGCTCCGTTTAGCCGCTGGGTGTTCACCTTACTTTGGATATCTCCATTAAGTTTGATTCGAGACCTCGTACTTGACTGCAACAGGGTCCGATGTCTGTGTCACAGCCCGCCATCACAGTCTGACTCATTGTTGCGACAAGTGGAAGAAGAGATAGTCTCGAATCACAAACAAGTCGGAGATATCCCGCCTCGGCTAGTTTGACACCTTTGAGAAATCGTTCACTCGTCTTGGAAGCATAAATGAAGACCACTGATGACGTCTATTGAAACAATCACAGGAAGATTGTTCCTAACGACACCGGCCGGAACCCCAAACACGCCCGCTACAACATATAATTGAGGTTTATATATCCTCTGAGGCCAAGTTTACCCCGTGAAGTGATTGATGAATGTTGCCGTATCCAACAAAAAGGAACTAAGCGAGCCATACTCGAGTCAAGCTGAACTCTCGAACCAGGCTGGGCTTGACTGTCGCTTGTCAGGTCGTCCGAATTGGGATGTCTGCTCATGCACAGACAAAGTTGACTTTGCCAGCAAAAGCTTACCAGATCAACGGTCAATGCCGTTAAAATCTCTCCACTTTCCGATTCATCAGAAGCTTGAAATCTCGAGAAGCCCAACTTGGGACCTGATTGGAGCTCTGGAAAACCGGCTGTTCAGCTTGTTTTTCGGGAGGCAACCGCCGAGAATCTAATTCGTGATAGCCTTAATCAGTAATCTTAAATTTCAAAAGATTTAGTTAAATCTTCTTTTGAGCTTGATTCTAATCTTTAGACTGCGACCCTGAAGGAAAATTATTTGTTCTTCTTTCGAATGCCTCCAGCCAGGGGCTTACTGTTACATTCCGTTTATCCGCCTGCGTGCACTGGCGTACTCATCGGAAAATGACTGGGACATCGCCATCCCATAAAGTTCCGCATGCCCTACGATGACCCCTGTGAAGATGATTCAGGTTGTGAGCACTATCAGTAGGGCTGCCAGGTCAGGAGCCGGAGAGGTGGATACGACACCCTTCTTGAGGTGCCTTTGGTCTCAACAAATGTATGTTCAACTCGGTTTACGAGGACCGCCAATCCACCACCCACACCATCTGTTGACCTGCTGTGGCTTTTTATCGTCGCCAAGGCTGTCTACCCGCCCTGGCTATGCTCTTGGCGCGTGCTATGAGCTGCAGATATCTCACGAACACTACCGCAGATGAGCCTCACCACACCAAGCATTGCGAATGGGGGCTTGCTGCTACTTGGCAGCGCTTGGCGCTTGGTTCTGGGCTTTCCATAAATAATCCTCCAAGCGCAAGTTCGCAGCAGATTTGCAAACGCCTGCACACAGCCACTCTAAGTTGTTCGTGCCACTGTGCTCCATGACTAATCTATCTTGTCTAATTTGCCTCTTGGTCTCAAAACATCTCGCTATCCTCTGGGTACGACTTCATTGTCTCTGGTATCATTTTGCCTTTGTTGATCACCCGGAGCCGAGATGAGAGAGTTGCCCCTGTGTTTACACTGGCTTAGTCTTTCGGCACCGGCTAGCCATTTCCCTGACCTTGAAATGGGCTGCCTACCTGCCACCTTGGAGGCTCGCGGATCCAGCCGACAGCGATTGCGAAGGCATGAATGGAAAAGATCAGACACAATTGCTCCCCTCCCTCACTAGCAGCCTGAATGTTGGCCCAACGCCCGTTTGTTGCCTTGATTCGGGGAGGGAAAGTGTGGTTCAAAGCACAAACCCGAGTTCGTGCCGTGCGTAGCCCGCGCGCGCGTCGGTTGGTATTGGCCGACCTGGACTAGGCGCAGCAGGGATCCGTGTGGAGGAGAGACTAGTAAATAATGTCCGAACACCAAAACAAAATCCCACTTGTAGCCGCAAAGCTTTGACTTGCTGGAGAGTGACATGTTCACAGCTGGAAACAAACTAGGTTGCCCTTGGTTAGGGCGGCTGGGCCTTCTCAGGTGGGAATGGTGGTGATTTTGCTGATATGACAGAGAGGGACTTATTTTCTACTCTACAAGAGCGAGGAAGGCATCGTAGTAAAGCCAAAGTTGTGGTATCTTCGGATAAGGAGGGCGGGAATTTGAGATGACGCGCACCTTTAGGGCTACTCAATGTTCGGCTCTCCCCCTTGCTTGTCTCGGCGAAGAGAGTCAAAATTTGCGCCAGTTTGTAACTCCCATGAAGCTCCCTTGATGGAGATCAATCATCAATCAAAGTGGATTCAAGTCCAGCGGATCCGATGATGTAGTAAAACACCGTCGTATTACACGCACTTTAATGACTCTTCATGAGAGGGTCTCGGGAGCGAGGCGACGGCCGAAAGGTTAAACGGCGTAGTGCCGGTAACGGGTCCGCGGGTGGACGCCAACGGTACAATGGTCAGTAAAGAGCTAAACTGCGACCAGAAGGAGCTTTTATTACCGCTCAACCAGGAAATTGGAAGTTGTAATGTGGTCGTAGTACTCGGGGACCTCCTTGCAGGTGATGCCGTCCGGCCCTGCTGCGTCTGTCCTGGCGTGACTTCACGGACCAGGCCCATAGAGAAAGCAGTGAAAGTTGGAAGAGAGAGTGAGTGTTTGTGTGTTCCAAAGGCAAGTTGAGAGAGGTAGGGGGGGTTCAAGGTTTGTTTCACCCCCGGACAGAGTTCGCCGTTCGCGGCCAATCCCCGCCGACGGCCATCCCCCATCAACGACTGTCCTAAACTTCTGGACGACAGCTTATCAACCGGACTCAAGGCAATGCGTGTCTCAGGAAGGCCACTGTAAATTCGGCCTACTCGATGGTGAAAGGCAAGTACAGCCCGTCTTGAATGTACGCGGGGACGTACGTCGTCTGAATTGTTGTGCCCCGTGCATGCCGAGAGCGACATCGAGATCAGTGTCTTGAAGCCTTCCAGCTCAGCACTCGCCAGCAATTCGCAGCTTGGTACCCCCTTGTATTCGAGGCGTACAAAGGACAGAAGCTTTGGATGTCTCCCCGTATGTCGTCTCTTCCCTCCAATACGCACGCACTGAAACGACGTGGGCTAACCATCAATGCTCAGACCGCCAGAGGGGTTGGGCTCTGCAAGGCACGGTCGAAGCTAGAAGATGGTGAGGGATCATGACGTTCCGGGAGAAGGAAAACGAGGCGTAAATAAGAGTCATCGTGCTCCCGTACTTCTGCTCTGTTGTTCGTCCCGAGCGTGACTCTCTACTTCAAGGGCGTGCCAAGCAACCATGGGATAAGGGACCCTGATCACGAACACCACACTCAACAACTCAACATGAACACCTTCAACCCTCGTCGGGTCTCGTACCTCAGGCCGCCTACCACGGTAATTGAGGTTCGCGAGTCCTGGGCGTCGCCATACCCATCGCTCAGCTCCATCGGATACCCCCCTTCAGAAAGATCGGCCGACGAGAGGTTCGCATCTGCTGTCTGGAAACGCACATTCAACCATGTCGACTACGCAGCGTACAAGGCAGCCTGTGACGCTGAGAGAGAGGCGAAGCCAGAACGAGACCCCGATGTCTTCTCAACTACATCGAGTGGAACGCGTAAAGGTTTCTCAAGACTGGGTGCAATGCTCACCATCTACCCCTATCGCGATATGGGATGGCTTGTTACCATGGTTTTCATCGGAGCCGGGATCTGCCTCTCACTGAACGGCATTTTCAGCCTCATTCATCTCCTCGACCCTAAGCTTGACTTTCCTGGACGCGACACAGGAGTACAGGTCACTGCTACCTTAGGCAGCGCTCTGCTCGCTCTCAGTGCATTCATGGGTCTGCTTGCTGCATTCAACGTCGACAGAGGCACTCTGGACCCGAAGAAAGATGCACCCGATGCTTACAAGCCAGCGCTTCTGGGCAGCGAAGAATGGGTCTGGTGGCCCAGCTGGTACGAATTCCGCAACATCTTCTGGCCAAGCTCAGCTTTCCGCGCCGGTATCCTCCAACTACTCGCCGGCTCCTTCTTCACTATCGCCGCGATCGCCATCCTACCTGGCGTCCTCGACCTCACACACCCCGACGCCTCCATCATCTTCGTATCTGCACCTCAACTTATTGGCGGCAGCCTTTTCGTGCTTGCCGGCCTACTCATGATCTTCTTGTCCCAGGACAAGTGGTACGTCCCGAAGCTGCTTGACGCTAGTTGGCAAAACGGATTCTGGAATTTGGTTGGCGCAAGTGGGTTTTTGGCTATCGGCGTTGTGACTTTGCTCGCAAAGACTGCGACTGTGGCGATTGCGTCACTATTTCTTATGAGCGGACTCGGGTTCTTGATTGCCAGTCTGATCCAATGGTACATCATTATGGAGTTCTACCCGGTCGATCCTTACGTCAAGGATCCGACGCAGGTGGCAGAGATTCCTTCGCAATCAATCTATTAACGACACTTTTATGAATTGGGAACAGGGGTTAACGGGGTTCAAGGTTGGGCTTTATACCAGACGTAAAACAGATTTTAGATACCGACTCAGATTATAATTGATGATTTAATGACTTAACAAAAAGACCATCCTCTTATGCAGTGTGACTCAGACGACAAACATGAAGGTGTTCGAATCGTGGTCGGGGTCCGATGATGCGGTGGATTCTCGAAACTGGGCGAACGTTTTGATGCAACGAAATCCAACTCCTAATCATCTTGACGTTGACATTGAATTCAGAGAAAATGGTTTACAATAGCCACAGTTTCTTCAATTCACCCCCAAGTCCGTATGTGCACAGGCTTCTCACAGAATCCATGCAGTAAGAGGAACGGACGATCGGTTGACAGCAACGCATAATGGATCTCCTGGTTATCCCCCACAAGTCATGAGACGGTCATTCGAAATCTGATCTTATGATCGGTAAACGGTGAATGTTTCTACCTAAACCCGTTCTTCGCCCCGTCCTGCCTTCTTTCCAGGCCTTGACAGCCTTTACAAAATTATGCCATGACCAATTTCCGCCCTTCACTATGCCTGTCCTCTAGCAAAATTGCCATGGGCTTTGAAAAATGCTCTCATTCGCCGCAAGACCATCATAACACCCACACGGGCCTCTTTACTTTTGAGCTCTGCGAGCGGCAATGGTGTAGAAAAGGCTGCCATCGTAGATTCCTCGGATATCTTCCTTGTTCATCCTACCGTCTGCCGGCCATAGCATAAGATATGTAGCAAACCCTGTTCGTTGGTTAGTATCGGGCAAGCGTCCATGTGAAGTACCAGAAGCAGACTCACACTCAAAGAATGCACCGCCCCAACCAATTGGATCAGCAACGAGCCTCTGACCCTTCAGCATCGCGAAGACGTCCCAGATTGTCATGTAGTCTCTTCCCTCGGCGTACTTAGAAAAGATATCCTCAAACTTCTGCGGGTTAAATCGACCCTCGGTATCGTACGTGTTTGTGTCACTACCGTGCTTGTCCTTGTGAACCCTGTCGAGGAAGATGCGGAAGAGAGGGTCTGGCAGATACCCGCTCACTGTCGGGTAAGAGAAGTTGCCATGGATGATGAAGACCGAAAGAACTGAGAGAATGACCCCGAATCCCAATGCGTAGAATCCCCAGAATGTATCATGGGGGTAGATCACTCCATCTTTGTCCTAATATTATCATTCAGCCTTTTCTGTTCGACTGCGAGGGAGGGGAATCATTACACTATCGAAGAACTCGCAATGCTGTTGCAGCACTGTTTGATGACGATGCCTTTGCGCCCAATCATGTTCCGTCGTGCCGTTCGGCTTCTCGTAGGTCGCCGCAATATTGACCCTAGGAGTACCTAGCAGTCTTTAGTGTCCTGCCCGCACGATATGTCGTGATGTCCCAATCATACCTGTGTGCGCCAGCTTCTGATCCTGCTCCGGTTGGAAGAAAGGTTTACGCTGCTGCGTGACCGGGACCTCCGGAATGGACCAAATCACTGGTTCTCCGAGCTTGTCAGCCTGCTTTTTAGGCTTTTGCGGCCTTTGCGGCTTCTCCATCTTCGTGTAGTTGTGATCTTCGAGAGTGGCCATGGTCACAGTGCTTTTCGGTCAAATCTGTAAAAGTAGCATGAGCCAGTCAGAACAATCTGATTAGAAAATCCCTGGTTCGTGGTGGCATTTATCATGCTATCTTGAGCTACGCGAGCTAAGACAATTCCGAACATGCGCTGTTCATCGTGACGTCACTGAGCCCGTCCAAATACCTTAGCCCATCGCGGTGTTCAGGCCATAATCCGTCTTGATTTTCATGTGCCACTTCAGCATGTGATAATTGGTACTGTTGCATTCCTCTTCATGCTGCTTGCTGCTGACGGATGTGGTCGGTCGTAGCTCTGAGGAGCTATGTTGCAGCTTCTGATAGGTCGTTTCGAGCCGCATTCTTGCATGAGTGAACCATCTCGGGCCGATCGCGACCATGACGGATTAGGTAGAACAATGAGACAGCATAGTCACCTTGAGATACTTTGATATTGCCATGGTAACTGGATGTCACCTCTCAGCTACATCACATCGTGCCTCTTTGAAGCAGTGTCCGTATGATGTAATTAACCTCACTTCACTGCGAGCGGAACGTCCTCCTACTGGGATTAAATATTCATACACGACATGTTACAAGTCTTCGATGACAAGATTAATTGCAAGAAACAAAACCAAGGCCCCAGAAGCCCGGAAATTAAAGAGTCACAAACCACTTTGAGTTGGAAGTGACACGTACACGATAATGAAAGTGGCGACGATGGCAGAAAATGGCAAATTGCGCAACGACATTGAGCATACCAACCTCCTGGTGAGGCAGGAGCCTAATGAGGACCGTCTTTCGAGTCTTGCTTCTCTGATACTTTGGGCGGAAATCAGACAAGGTAGTCTCAATTCACATAAGTCAACATACTTAACATTTACTGTGTCTGGGCTTGGTCATACCTGTTCAATTCTCATGACTGCCGTGCAAATTCTTTAAAGCCAGTTCATACGATCCCATGCACAACCCTACGATTGTATTCCAGTAGCAAAGCGGTGAGGAACGCTCAGCCAACAGTTCATAAGCGGCAGAATGGTCCAGAGAAGCACAAAAAGCTTGTTGTACATGATTATAGTGCTATGCTTCGATTCTCCGGCGTGCGGGAGAGCTATGAATATCTGCTGAACTCCGTGACATAATGAGGCGGAGGAAAAGTTCTCCCAAAGATTATTCGAGGATCGAGGGACAAGAGCTAAGAGGGTAGGATGGTGGGAATGCAACTACTCAATTGACCAACAAGGGAGTTCTCATCTGGAGACTGGCTGCGTATAATCTCCATCAAAAGTAAGTAACCCAGCTTCCGTCATTATAGTAGTCATATTCCAAAAAGTGAGCGAGAGTCCAATGAATGAGCAACCTTAGCGACATCCGCATTCAGTTACGATGCGGCCACGAAATAGCATAATAGTAATTTTAGCAACTCCTTCGGCGACCGAAATTTCGCACGAGGGCAAACAGACTTGCGCGACTGAATGTCACAACCATAGAAATATCGCCTCTTTTCTCTAAGCAAAGGCCGTCGTGCTGTTCGTGCAAGTTTGTGCAACAACCAGAGCAGACCCCATGATGATCTTTGCGAGACGAACGGGTCGCGAGGAGGGTTGCCGGCCTTTATTTACGAAACTCGTGAGCATGAACAAGCATGCTTAGGCAGTGGTGGGAATTCAGGCCAAGGCCGTGATCATGGGATGATCAGATCATCGTCGCGTCAGGTTTTTCCACAGTTGCCGCCCGTGTGGTCCCCGAAGACACCAGCATCCTGCCATACCTCTTTTAGGGTCCTGATCGTTGGCTTTCCGCGGCAGGCCGTGAACGCTTGGACAGTGCTCGGGCTCGAACCACTCGGCGGCAACGGCTTACCCGTCGTGAACGAAAGACGTCGGTTTGTCAGTGTAGTGAAACAAGACTCGCGCAGACATACATCCCCGAGCTGAAAAGAAACAAACGGCGTCCTGCCGACGACCTTTCTGTCTTGTCTGCCCACGCCGACCGAGTGGAAAAACACGTTCGTCTCTTGGCGGCATTGGACACACGTCACAGCTGCATCGACCAAGTGATCTCGTCCTATTACCATCAGTGCGGCCCAATGACTCTAGACCGTTCGGCATGCACGACCGTTGAGCCTTGGTCTCACATTGAGTCGACCTGTTTTTCCGGAGCGCAATGTATGGAAGTCCTGAGCACGATGTGACCTACGTCTCGGAGCTTCGCTGGTTGTCAAGTTCATCTCAACTCATTGCTTATGAGCTTGCGAGGGTGTTTGAGACTAGCTGTTTCTAAGATGTCAACTCTGGAAGACTGCGAAACAGGAAAGGCTATCGTTTTCGGGATAAGAATACGGAAATGGCTCAGGGCATGTCTGATAGACCACCATAGGCGGTTGAAATTCAAAAGACACACCGTGAAAATGTCTTTCTTCAGACTTCACTGTATCGTAGCTTACTTGCCGTAGGTCCACAATGTTCCTTCGTGATCTAGAAGATCCAACGGCCTTCGAATCGCAACGTGGAAACAGATCTGCAAACGGTCGATAGCCATCAGATGACGAGCTTGCATCTCGCATGGACTGATTTAATTTTAACAAAGATTGAATTACTCTGAATGCACTTGACTGTGTCTCCCGCTTAGATCACAATGCGAGTTCTTAGCAGCACTCACTCACATCACATCGCATCATATCACATCACATCTTCACTTACCCTATCTTATAACTATATATTATCTTCTTTAACTTTCTGGAAGAATACGACCTCCTGCCTTAGGTAGTAATACTTACTACGGTATAACGAGGGTCTTTTTATAAATATATAGAACATTACTTAGCTTATCCTTTATATTACTAGCGCAGTACTCAAACCTCGCTAAGTATAATTACTCTAGGTCATAAGATATTACGGGGGGCTATGTATAAATAAAAGGGTTAAATCTTAGATTATATATTATACTATTTTATAAGAGGGTATTATATAGATTTTACGGGGTACTATATGCGGTTATATAATTCTAGCGCGGTGTAGTTGCTTTTTACCTTACTTAAGGACTTTACGGCGTAAAATGGGACAAATAAACAAATAAACAAAAGCTTCGCCCGATGAAAGGTCGAGCAACTCACTTGCCAAAGAGGTCTTTCAACCTCGTGTGGCACTTTGTATCTAATGAGAGCATAGCAGTGAGAACCGGATTCATCCACCGGATCATTGCGATATCCTGGAATAAAAAAGAAAGCTTGCGTGGTATCATTACTTGAAGGAGCAAAACGATATGATCAGTGGGAGGCTTGAACTCCCGGCCTTGGCATTACTCAATATTTCCGATGAAATATTAGTACCACGCTCTAACCAACTGAGCTAACCGACCATTTGGTTGTTGATAATGGGCTTGCAGAGTTTTCATGTTATGGAG